TCCTCCAGCACGTCCCACTCGGCCCCTTCAATGTCCAGCTTGAGGTAGTGGAGTTGGTGATGCATGTGGCCGAGTCTGGCCATAATGGCGGGCAGCGGCCAGTACTCCACCAAGTAGGGTTCAGCTGCCTTGTCATCTCCCTGGTACTGCAGCTCTTTTAAGAAATACGTCCCAATACGCACCTTGTAGAATGTCAGCCTGAGAAAAATAAAAACGCACCCTGCTCACTGTTAGTGCTCCCTGCTCACTGTTAGTGCTCCCTGCTCACTGCTAGTGCTCCCTGCTCACTGCTAGTGCTCCCAGCTCACTGCTAGTGCTCCCAGCTCACTGCTAGTGCTCACTGTTAGTGCTCCCTGCTCACTGTTAGTGCTCCCTGCTCACTGTTAGTGCTCCCTGCTCACTGCTAGTGCTCCCAGCTCACTGCTAGTGCTCCCAGCTCACTGCTAGTGCTCCCTGCTCACTGTTAGTTCTCCCAGCTCACTGCTAGTGCTCCCTGCTCACTGTTAGTGCTCCCTGCTCACTGTTAGTGCTCCCTGCTCACTGTTAGTGCTCCCTGTCCACTGCTAGTGCTCCCTGCTCACTGTTAGTGCTCCCTGTCCACTGCTAGTGCTCCCTGCTCACTGTTAGTGCTCCCTGCTCACTGTTAGTGCTCCCTGTCCACTGTTAGTGCTCCTGAACTGAAGCACACTGAACTGCCACACACACAAGCACACTGAACTGCCTCACACACAAGCATAATGAACTGCCACACACACAAGCACACTGAACTGCCCCACACACAAGCACAATGAACTGCCCCATACACAAGCACACTGAACTGCCCCACACACAAGCACACTGAACTGCCCCACACACAAGCACAATGAACTGCCACACACACAAGCACACTGAACTGCCACACACAAGCACAATGAACTGCCTCACACACAAGCACAATGAACTGCCACACACACAAGCACAATGAACTGCCACACACACAAGCACACTGAACTGCCCCACACACAAGCACACTGAACTGCCACAAACACAAGCACAATGAACTGCCACACACACAAGCACACTGAACTGCCCCACACACAAGCACACTGAACTGCCCCACACACAAGCCAATGAACTGCCACACACACACAAGCACAATGAACTGCCACACACACAAGCACACTGAACTGCCACACACACAAGCACACTGAACTGCCTCACACACAAGCACAATGAACTGCCCCACACACAAGCACAATGAACTGCCCCACACACAAGCACAATGAACTGCCACACACACAAGCACACTGAACTGCCCCACACACAAGCACACTGAACTGCCAAACACACAAGCACAATGAACTGCCACACACACAAGCACAATGAACTTCCACACACACACAAGCACACTGAACTGCCTCACACACAAGCACACAGAACTGCCACACACACAAGCACACTGAACTGCCACACACACAAGCACACTGAACTGCCCCACACACAAGCACACTGAACTGCCACACACACAAGCACATTGAACTGCCACAAACACAAGCACAATGAACTGCCTCACACACAAGCACAATGAACTGCCACACACACACACAAGCACACTGAACTGCCCCCACACAAGCACACTGAACTGCCTCACACACAAGCACACTGAACTGCCTCACACACAAGCACACTGAACTGCCACACACACAAGCACAATGAACTGCCACACACACAAGCACAATGAACTGCCACACACACACACAAGCACACTGAACTGCCCCACACACAAGCACACTGAACTGCCCCACATACAAGCACACTGAACTGCTCCACACACAAGCACACTGAACTGCCCCCCACACAAGCACAATGAACTGCGACACATACAAGCACAATGAACTGCCAAACATACACACAAACACACTGAACTGCCCCACACACAAGCACACTGAACTGCCCCACACACAAGCACACTGAACTGCCCCACACACAAGCACACTGAACTGCCTCACACACATGCACACTGAACTGCCCCACACACAAGCACAATGAACTGCCCCACACACAAGCACAATGAACTGCCACACACACAAGCACACTGAACTGCCACACACACAAGCACACTGAACTGCCGCACACACACACAAGCTCAATGAACTGCCCCACACACAAGCACAATGAACTGCCCCACACACAATCACACTGAACTGCCACACACACAAGCACATTGAACTGCCACACACACAAGCACACTGAACTGCCACACACACTCAAGCACACTGAACTGCCACACACACAAGCACACTGAACTGCCCCACACACAAGCACAATGAACTGCCCCACACACAAGCACACTGAACTGCCACACACACAAGAACGCTGAACTGCCACACACACAAGCACAATGAACTGCCACACACACACACAAGCACACTGAACTGCCACACACACAAGCACAATGAACTGCCACACACACAAGCACAATGAACTCCACACACACAAGCACAATGAACTGCCCCACACACAATCACACTGAACTGCCACACACACAAGCACATTGAACTGCCACACACACAAGCACAATGAACTGCCACACACACAAGCTCAATGAACTGCCGCACACACAAGCACAATGAACTGCCACACACACACACAAGCACAATGAACTGCCCCACACACAAGCACAATGAACTGCCTCACACACAAGTACAATGAACTGCCTTTACACACAAGCACAATGAACTGCCACACACACAAGCACAATGAACTGCCTCACACACAAGCACAATCAACTGCCACACACACAAGCACAATGAACTGCCACACACACAAGCACAATGAACTGTCACACACACACACAAGCACACTGAACTGCCACACACACAAGCACACCGAACTGCCACATACACACTCAAGCACACTGAACAGCCACACACACACACACAAGCACACTGAACTGCTACACACACAAGCACACTGAACTGCCCCACACACACACAAGCACACTGAACTGCCACACACACAAGTACAATGAACTGCCACACCCACAAGCACAATGAATTGCTCCACACACAAGTACAATGAACTGCCACACACACAAGCACAATGAACTGCCACACACACTAGCACAATGAACTGCTCCACACACAAGCACAATGAACTGCCACACACACAAGCACATTGAACTGCCACACACACAAGCACAATGAACTGCCACACATACACACAAACACACTGAATTGCCCCACACGCAAACACACTGAACTGCCCACACACACAAGCACATTGAACTGCCACACACACAAGCACACTGAACTGCCTCACACACAAGCACACTGAACTGCCCCACACACAAGCACACTGAACTGCCCCACACACAAGCACACTGAACTGCCCCACACACACAAGCACAATGAACTGCCTCACACACAAGCACACTGAACTGCCCCACACACAAGCACACTGAACTGCCACACACACAAGCACAATGAACTGCCTCACACACAAGCACAATGAACTGCCTCACACACAAGCACACTGAACTGCCACACACACAAGCACACTGAACTGCCCCACACACAAGCACAATGAACTGCCACACACACAAGCACACTGAACTGCCCCACACACAAGCACACTGAACTGCCCCACACACAAGCACACTGAACTGCCCCACACACAAGCACACTGAACTACCCCACACACAAGCACACTGAACTGCCCCACACACAAGCACACTGAACTGCCCCACACACACAAGCACAATGAACTGCCACACACACAAGCACACTGAACTGCCCCACACACAAGCACACTGAACTGCCCCACACACACAAGCACACTGAACTGCCACACACACAAGCACAATGAACTGCCACACACACACACAAGCACAATGAATTGCCACACACACAAGCACAATGAACTGCCCCACACACAAGTACAATGAACTGCCACATACACAAGCACAATGAACTGCCTCACACACAAGCACAATGAAGTGCCACGCACACAAGCACAATGAACTGCCCCACACACAAGTACAATGAACTGCGACACCCACAAGCCCAATGAACTGCTCCACACACAAGTACAATGAACTGCTACACCCACAAGCACAATGAACTGCCACAACCACAAGCACAATGAACTGCTCCACACACAAGCACAATGAACTGCCTCACACACAAGCACAATGAACTGACACACCCACAAGCACAATGAACTGCCACACACAAGAACAATGAACTACCACACACACAAGCACAATGAACTGCCACACACACAAGCACAATGAACTGCCACACACACAAGCACCATGAACTGCCACACACACAAGGACAATGAACTGCCACACACACAAGCACAATGAACTGCCACACACACAAGCACAATGAACTGAGACACACACAAGCACCATGAACTGCCACACACACAAGCACAATGAACTGCCCCACACACAAGCACAATGAACTGCCTTACACACACAAGCACAATGAACTGCCACACACACAAGCACAATGAACTGCCACACACACAAGTACAATGAACTGCCACACACACAAGCTCAATGAACTGCCACACACACAAATACAATGAACTGCCACACACACAAGCACAATAAACTGCCACACACACAAGCACAATGAACTGCCACACACACAAATACAATGAACTGCCACACACACAAGCACAATGAACTGCCACACACACAAATACAATGAACTGCCCCACACACAAGCTCAATGAACTGCCACACACACAAGCACAATGAACTGCCGCACACACAAGCACAATGAACTGCCTTACACACACAAATACAATGAACTGCCACACACACACACACACAAGTACAATGAACCGCCACATACACAAGCACAATGAACTGTAACACATACAAGCACAATGAAGTGCCACACACACAAGCACACTGAACTGCCCCACACACAAGCACAATGAACTATCACACACAAGCACACTGAACTGCCACACACACAAGCACACTGAACTGCCCAACACACAAGCACAATGAACTGCCACACACACAAGCACAATGAACTGCCACACACACAAGCACAATGAACTGCCACACACACAAGCACAATGAACTCCCACACATACAAGCACAATGAACTGCCACACACACAAGCACTCTGAACTGCCCCACACACACAAGCACACTGAACTGCCGCACACACAAGCACAATGAACTGCCACACACA